TAACCATTGTGATTAACACAATTATTGTTAGTGACATCAAAGCAGTGCAAAATCGGTGCAGTTGTCACAGAATAAACTTTATTTCATACAAGTAATGTTTGATACATTGCATGATTCAATATTTTTTAAATACAATTTTATATTTCTAATAAAATAATTAATTTTTTTGTGATTATTACACCGATTTTGCACTGCTTTGATGTATTTAATTAATCCCTAAAACAATTAATGTTGGTTAATGAAATTACAGGTTAATGTTGTTGCCATGTATAATTGCCATTTTAATTGGCATGCTCATATATCATGTGGCCAGGTTTTACACCCAACTTGCCAGATACCCGCCCGGACCAACACCATTACCTTTCATTGGCAATATATTATGTAATGTTATAAATTTACATAATATTTATATATTAATTAATTTTATCAATTATTATACAATATTAAATCTATTCTCATTGATAGATTATTAATCTTGCTAATTTTTACTAATTAGTTTATAAGTTTAAGCCGAGTTTCAAAACAATTGTTTTATAATTATTATGTTAAATCTAAATTGTTTATAAAATTACACTAGTGTTTCGCAATGCGCGTGATAAAATAAGTGGCAAACTACCCAAATTGTACGAGACATACGGCCCAGTGATCACCCTATGGTTGGGTACAACACCGGCCATAATGATCAGCGATCCGGAACTCATTAGACAAACATTTGCCAATCCGGACGCGGGCGGACGTCCCGGTTACGATTTAGGTAAGTAGTAAACTACAATTTTATCATGTTTTACTTCATAATTATCAATATGCACTCTGTATGATTATGCATTCATTATTAAATTGCATCAACATACACTCTTTATGGCATACACGATTTAATTATGTTATTTTTAACCACAGGGAACGTGTTTAGTAATGCAAAACATCTTGGTTTAGCTTTTGCTCAAGACCCGTTATACGTCAATTCTATGAGACATAATATTAAGTCATTCATGCGGTATATTCCTATTCTCAGAGACATTAACAATTAAATAAGTTTGACTATAATAACAATTTACTAGACAATACTGCAATACAACTGTGTTTGAAGTTAGAATGAGCTCGATTGTGGACCAAATGTTTACTAACATGGTTAAACTGGGCTTTAATAAACCATTCTTACTCAACAAGTTTCTTTTTAAAATGAATCTTGATAATATAAGCACCGCTATGTTGGACCATAAGTATGTTGCAATTAATGTATAATTAAAAATAAGCATAACTATTGCCTAGATATATTATTTAGTTATTTTATTTATTATAATATGCATAGTTAATATAAAAACAAATTATTATTTTATTGTTAAACAAAATATTTGTTATTTGTCTAGGTTGAACGACGAGTACCGTGATGAATTCAAACAATATATACACACATTTTTTGATCAATTCACATACAAGTACGCCGTTTGGGAATTGGCTCCCGGTATTTGCCGGGCGTTTATGTCGGACCCGTTGGCCGACTATCGCCGTCAGTATTACCGATGCTTTGCGTACGTCATGTCGGAGTTAATGGCGGAGAGAGTAAACCGTACGGACATTATTGGCATGTTTTTGGCTGCAAAACGTCGGACTAACGATACGCACGACGACCGGCATTTCAATGACGATCATTTTGTGGCCGCAATTATGGACATGTTTATAGGCAATTATGTGTTTGATTAAATTTCTGTGTCAATTAATTATGCAACTTTATACAATTTTATACAAGTATAAAGCATATCTCATGAATAATTATAATTGTAATAATTAA